GCGAGGGATGCATCATTTCCCATGCTAGTTACATGTCTTTGCCGCTATCTATGTACCACCGTTTCTGCCTCAGTAGATGCTGTGTGGGGGTTGATCTCCTCGGTTCCCCTCTTCCAAGATTTCAGCTTCTCAGATTATCGGCAGTGTCATTAAGTCCGGGCAGCCTGCGGTTTACCCTCGTGTCTATCATATTCCTGAGTATGCTGCTCTGGAAGCGGTGTTCTGTAACATATATATATATCACAGGTTGATATCCAGGTACAAGGGTAGTCTTGGCAGCCCAGTGTTTAGTTAACGTCCCCTGGACTCATGTCTAAGTTGCCTTGGGCAACTTAGACATGAGCAACTTGGGCATGAGACATGAGACATGAGCAACTTGGGCAACTCTTGTCCAGTTGTCATAAAGCTCTTTGTCATGTTAGAAACTCTTAAGTCTATAAAATGATCTTCTAAAAATCTTCTTTCCTTCCTCCACTCTCCACATACAGGGTCTTGTTGACTCGGCTTTCAAACAACTTGTCCAACTTTAACTTCAGTTATCGACCCTGTCGTAGCTCAGTCGATTAAGGCAGTGTCTGGGATGCTCCCGGACGCAGGTTCGAATCCTCGTCACAGCCCTTGTGGATTTGTTCATTTAACTTCAGTCCTGGCTTTGTTGTTGCTAACTCGTGCCTTTCTCAGTACACAGTTAAATGCTCTCACCTTCTTACCAAATGTGATCTGACTTACCTTCATCCCTCTGTAAATTCATTTTTCTTTCTTTGTACGTTCTTTTCTTTCTCTTCTGTTATATCTTTTGTCTAATTTCAACTCTCTGCCATTAGGTCTTCTGAAGTGTTTTGTATTCCTATTAACTACGAGGCCAGGCTACGAGGCCCCTCGTAGCCTGGCCTCGCACACAACACTTCAGCAACACTACACAACACTATCCACACTGGTGGATAGCGCGCAGGGCTCGTAATTCTGTGGCGTGGGTTCGATTCCCGCACGAGGCAGAAACAAATGGGCAAAGTTTCTTTCACCCTGAATGCCCCTGTTACCTAGCAGTAAAATAGGTACCTGGGTGTTAGTCAGCTGTCACGGGCTGCTTCCTGGGGGTGGAGGCCTGGTCGAGGACCGGGCCGCGGGGACACTAAAAAACCCCGAAACCATCTCAAGATAACCTCAAGATAACCCCTATGGTATACTTCTCGCCTCATATTCTTACCTTATATGTTCACTTTCTTTACACAACTTGATAATGGTCCACGACCAATGACTTCCTGTGTGTCCAGATGCGTGGGTCGAGTGTCTAAAGTTAGGCCACGTTACTGTAACTCATTGTACGCATTTCTCGTGCGCGCGCATGCATACACTCTAGCAGCGAGGTGCAATGGTGTCCCCAAGGGGGCGTATGTCTGGTGCCAAGAAGGGCAGCCGACTCACAATTGAGTGTAGGAAGATGGTCACGCAATATCAGGTCATGGTGCACAGGTCATGCTGGTGGCAGGCGACGGAGGAGCAGGCAGTGGTGCTCCTCCTGATCCACAAACCAGACTTGTCGCAGTTAGGGGATACGCACTTATCGCACTTATGTAGTAATAAGTGTTGGTCCGCACTTATCGCGGACCAACTTATTTCTACACTTATTGCTCAGTGCGGGAGACAATGCTAGGAGACCTTTCAACAGCAAACGTCCCCAGACTGGCAGCCTCCGCCAGGAAGCCTGCAAGCATCACCCAGGGAGATCTGAAGCATCACCCAAAAGACCCCAAACGTCAAAGACGACCCTAGACAACATCCTGTAAAGCCCAAAGCACTATCCAGAAATGTCTGAAACACCACTTGGGACAGCCTAGCTAATACCCACACCACAACTTCCAGAACCACCCAAAAGTATCCTCAGTCATCACCTAGGAAGGTCAAGAGTGCCAAGGAATAAAGTGCCACTCAGGATAATCTCAATCACATCCTCTGACAGCTTCATGAACCACCCTGGAATATTTCAAGCATTGCCTCAGAAATTATTCAATCACCACCAGTTAAAATCTCAAGCAGCACTTTAACCCATTGGGAGGGTCCTTACCACTACTCTGGGTACCCTCTTAGAACCACTCATAGATGTTCCCTATTACTACCCTGGGAGGTCACCCAGGAACATCTAACGAGGTTCCATACTAACACTCTGGAAAATCCCATAGGACTTCTTGGGAGTAAACACACCACGTTGACCAGACCACACACTAGAATGTGAAGGGACGACGACGTTTCGCAATCGACTTGGGAATGGTCCAGGACGGAGCGAAACGTCGTCGTCGTCCCTTCACCTTCTAGTGTGTGGTCTGGTCAACATACTTTAGCCACGTTATTGTGACTCCTCGCCTGCACAAACCACGTATCTGCAAAGTTCCCTATAACCGCCCCTTCACCATAGAAGGTGAATTACCTTCCTGTGAGGTTCCTTACCACGATGCTGATAGGACACTCAGCGCCACTCTGCCAAGTGCCCCAATTCCATCATCAAGACGCATAGTCCATGCAAAGTCTAAATTATAATTGCCCCAATTAAAGGGTGCTAATATATTTTTACAAGAGTGAGAGGGAGGGTAGGGAATAAGGGAAGGAGGGAACTTCTGTAACACACACTGACTATATCTCGCACACTACCAAAATTTTTTTCACAAATATGAAAAATGGTCCTACTGGCCCACTAGGAATCTTCTCATTGAGGACATAAGGGTACTATGAAAGAACCGGCCTTCAGACAAGGCGGTGACGTATATTTACACAATTACACTGACCATCTTATCTTGTCGACTTGATAGTGGTCCAAGACGGACAGAAACGTCGTCGTCTCCTTATCTTCTAGTATGTGGTTTGGTCAACATATTTATATTGCATTATCACCACCACCCACATTAAACTATCATTCAATAATTTTGTTAAAAAAGAATCATTCAAATTATTGCCTTGCGACTAATAACAAGGAATAAGAGATTATGAATTATGAAGAGATATAAGATAATTACAAGATAATCAAGATAATTACAAGAAAATGTAATTACACAATGATTATGAACAATCAAGAATATTTTACGTAAATTACAGAATAATATTTACTTTTAATTCACTGAGATTTTGACAATACGTCACCTTATTTCTCTTTCATAAAAATGAAAGTAATAATATTTTGAAGACCCAAATGTGAGTGTCTTAACACAACGCCTCTGACTAATTTATGTTTTCAAATCAAAGTTCAATTACACAATTACACAAACTCTGAACTTCTCAAAGTTCAAGTTCTAGCAAGAGTTGTGTAATTCGACATTGTAACCACTCCATTATAATGGATAATGGGAAGAATAACATGGCCGCCCCCGCCCCTCCACTGTCCAAGATTATCACGTGTCAAATTAATTTTGTCAGCGAGAGGAAGCCTGTGTTATACAGCATATAGACCCGGTATATACTTTAGGCTTGTATCCAGGTCTTCCAAGGTCAAACTACTGACCTTTTTCCCCTTTGGAAGCAACCTCAAAACAGTTGCCTAACTCCAGGCTGCCTATTTTTGCTGCTAGATGAACACACACACACACACACACACACCCTCGCAAACAGAGTGGTAGACGGTTGGAACAAGTTAGGGGAGAAGGTGGTGGAGGCCAAGACCGTCAGTAGTTTCAAAGCGTTATATGACAAAGAGTGCTGGGAAGACGGGACACCACGAGCGTAGCTCTCATCCTGTAACTACACTTAGGTAATTACACACACACACACACACACACACACACACACACACACACACACACACACACACACACACACACACACACACACACACACACACACACACACACTAGGTGTAAGAAAACGTGCCCAACCGTTTCTGTCGAACCCGGCAATTGAACCCGGTATCCCCAACTGCGACACCACTATTTTACCACGAGTTAATACTCCAATGGAGAGATGCATGTTCTTTTCTTTTTCCCTTTGTACACTGCTTCCACATACACTAAAGGTAAGGCACAGAAGAATATGTTTACCACGACTAATGTGGAGCTGAAGACCTGGGGCCAGATTCACGAAAGCACTTACGCAAGTACTTACGAACGTGTACATCTTTCCTCAATCTTTGACGGCTTTGGTTACATTTATTAAATAGTTTACAAGCATGAAAACTTCCCATTCAACTGTTGTTATTGTTATAAACAGCCTCCTGGTGCTTCGGAGCTCATTAACTGTTTAATAATTGTAAACAAAGCCGCCAAAGATTGAGAAAAGATGTACAGGTTCGTAAGTGTTTGCGTAACTGAATCTGGCCCCAGGCAGCCGGCTAAGAGTATGGCAGCATGTTGACAAACTCAGTTTACTTCACAGGGTAAACTTAAAACAACATATATTATCGTTAACTGACTCAAAGTTATAGTTTCTTTAGCTTGAGCTTTAACTTTGATTTATATCTAAAGCACAACATTAACGGGTGGAGAAGCAGCTAAGAAAAGGCGCCGGGTGTGACAAAGTGATCAGTGGCAGCAAAAATCTCTGCACTAAGCGGCTGTTAGTGCCTAAATTCAACCCGTTCTCGCACTTTCGTATAGTCAATATTGACTTAATAAATATGTGCATATGTGACATACTAAACATACTAGTTTACCTTGAAAAGCTTCGTAGAAAACACCGACCTTACCTAACCTTCTTAGTATGTTAAGATAAGCATCTTATTGCTTCGTAATTACAATTATTACTTAACCTATTATAGGTATAGGTTAAGTAATAATTGTAATTACGAAGCAATAAGATGCTTATCTTAACATACTAAGAAGGTCAGGTAAGGTCGGTGTTTTCTACGAAGCTTTTCAAGGTAAACTAGTATGTTTAGTATGTCACATATGCACATATTTACTAAGTCAATATTGACTGTAAGAAAGTGCGAGAACGGGTTGCTAAATTGCATCCAAACACAGCTGATATATATACAAGTACAGGGTCGGTGCCTGAGGCACGGTGCCTCTCATCCATACCGTTACGTCGAAGCTTGACCAGGACACATCGTCGGCCTACAAGTGAAAAGTACCATTTGTAGTTTACTTAAGGATTAAAGGCTTTCTGAAGCTAACAAACACCTGGCATGTACAAAGCTTGTGACTAGAGTCACTGGGCGAGCATGAAAGTGCTTCACCTCACTTGCTCTTCTCTCATGAAGCAGGCTCAACACTTACTAAAAAAACAGACAAACAGAAAAAAATGCCATTAAGGAAACTTTTAAGCGACAGAGAGGGGGAAAAAATTTATCTACAGTGGAGTTTAGTTTAGGGCAAAATATACACGTAAGAAATTAGGCGCCCAACATGTCTCCAAGCAATAGAAGGAGAGATGTAATGTCTTACCTGATCTTGGCTTTGGCGTCGGCTCGTCCCTCTCACTCTTCCCCAAGTTACCCTTCTCAGGGTCTTTGGCCGAGGAGGAGGAGTCGCCGACGGTGTCCCTGGTGGTGGTGCTGGGGTTGGTCCCCACGACGAAGGCACTGTTCTCTTCTTTGGTAATGCTCATGTAGAAACACATGTCCGTTTTCTTCATGATGTGTCTGGGGCCAGGGTTGAGAAGTATGGTGTCTTCGTAGAATTCTGGCAGCTCCGCGGGCCGTACGCCGACCAGCGCCACACCGTACCTGGGGCATATACAGGTTATACACCGTACCTGGGGCATATACAGGTTATACGCCGTACCTGGGGTATATACAGGTTATACGCCGTACCTGGGGCATATACAGGTTATACGCCGTACCTGGGGCATATACAGGTTATACGCCGTACCTGGGGCATATACAGGTTATACACCGTACCTGGGGCATATACAGGTTATACGCCGTACCTGGGGCATATACAGGTTAAACACCGTACCTGGGGCATATACAGGTTATACGCCGTACCTGGGGCATATACAGGTTATACACCGTACCTGGGGCATATACAGGTTATACACCGTACCTGGGGCATATACAGGTTATACACCGTACCTGGGGCATATACAGGTTAAACACCGTACCTGGGACATATACAGGTTATCTCTCAAGTGTTCTCTCTCTATATACAAATCAATCAATCAAAACCTTGTACACATAACAGCGTTTTGTCCGCCATTCTGGTGCCATTAAGGTTATACAGACGCAACACAATTTACCTGAAGGCTCACTAGCACAGCCCCGCTCCTGTGCCAGGTAAGTCCACTACGGGCTCGCCATAGCCCGTGCTACTTGGAACTTTTTGCTCCAAGTAGCTGCATCTAAAACATCCCACTAATGGCCTCGATGAGGACACAAAACTCATGGATTGTTAAAAGTCATCCTCATTTGTCCTGATACTATCCACAGGGATTGTGAATTTACAGCGACAATCGACTTGAGAATGGTCCAGGACGGAGCGAAACGTCGTCGTCCCTTCACCTTCTAGTGTGTGGTCTGGTCAATTTACAGCCATATTACAATCTTTATGCCTTCACTGTAGATCTTTCAAAATGAATGATTGCGTAAATAATAACATCTAGAGATCACAATCGACTTGAGAATGGTCCAGGACGGACCGAAACGTCGTCGTCGTCCCTTCACCTTCTAGTGTGTGGTCTGGTCAACATACTTCAGCCACGTTATTGTGACTCCTCGTCTGCAAGATCTAGAGAAGTGTTCAACATGTCATCTGCTGACTTGTATTATCAATTATTGTAAATACTTCACTGTTTGTATCATAATCTGGAAGTATGAAACAGCTGAAATTGCATTGCATCTGACATGCTTTTGAAATGGCTGATCTGTGAAGTATAATGTTAGTGGTCATTATACACTGTAACTGCATTTTGAACACTGACACCAAGATTTGTTTCATGAATGTATACCACTTCAAATACCTGCAGCTCTGAACAAATCCACAAGGGCCGTGACGAGGGTTCGAATCCTCGTCACGGCCCTGGTGGATTTGTTCATTTGATGCATCACGTTAGTGTCACCTGTGTGTGTGACCTGCAGCTCTATTGTAGTGTTATCTTGAGATGATTTCGGGGCTTTAGTGTCCCCGCGGCCCGGTCCTCGACCAGGCCTCCACCCCCAGGAAGCAGCCCGTGACAGCTGACTAACACCCAGGTACCTATTTTACTGCTAGGTAACAGGGGCATAGGATGAAACTCTGCCCACTGTTTCTCGCCGGCGCCTGGGATCGAACCCAGGACCACAGGATTATAAGTCCAGCGTGCTGTCCGCTCGGCCGACCGGCTCCCCTTACAATAAGTATTGAAAGCAACAGACATTCACAACATCGTTTCCTACCAATATTTCAAAACAAATATAGAATGATTATAGAAATTATACACTGCTCAAATCGTCACTCTATGATTGTGATTGTGTAGTTTATCATGGGAAATAAGCACAATCATACGAGATTTGTGGAACCAATTACCGCGTAACGTGGTGGAGGTGGGGTTCCCTCGATTGTTTCAAGCGCGGGTTGGACACGTATATGAGTGGGATTGGGTGGTTATAAATAGGAGCTGACTCGTATGGGCCAATAGGCCTTCTGCAGTTATATTTATTCGTATGTTCTTACACCATCCAACAATATCTTCCAAAATCAAGTCACTCATCCGGACACCATATCATTTGAGCAGCATCACACCTTCGGAATACAGTGCAAGAGGTCAAGCAGATATATCACATGATAACACACACAAACCACAATAGCCTGATGCATCAAATGAACAAATCCACAAGGGCCGTGACGAGGTTCGAACCCTCGTCACGGCCCTTGTGGATTTGTTCATCACATGGTAAACTATGGTTTAGCACGGGGTAGGTTCGTCAGGTGGAGGATCTCCCTAGAGTTTACTGCCTCTACATCCAGTCACCCTACAGTTACTGATGGATGGAGGGAGGGAACTATCTGGAGATAGCATCAAGCCATTACGACTATATAGCACTGGGAAGGGGGTCAGGATAAGGATTTGGGATGGGACGGGGGGGAAGGAATGGTGCCCAACCACTTGTGGACGGTCTCGGGGGATTGAACGCCGACCTGAAGTAAGCGTGATCTTCGCTCTACCGTCTAGCCCAAGTAGTTGGGCTCAAATGTGTTGAACATCACTATGCTAAAAAATGTGGTGTTCATATATTGTAACACGTATATTATATAACTAGATAAAACCTTTTTTGCTTATTACACTATATACACTATGCACTATATATATTACACTATCAATATTTGTATGCACCATCAACTAATAAGCAGTTCTGGTGGAGTAAGGAAGGGATCTCTCTGGAAAGCCTCCTTTCAAATCTCCCGCCAGCTCAGTGGTGTATAATCACAGTGAAGGAATGTCATTCTCTAAAAATATGTAAACAAATACTTATTATTCTTAAGAGATTATTCCAATTACATTCTGTGACTGGAAAACATGTTGAAAGTATGTTAAATGTGAAAATATGAAAGTGTTAAATGTGGAAAATCAGTTTAAACAAAATAAGAAATGAAAAGAAATAGATGGGGAGCCAGAAAAAAAACATTGGAACAGAATATCGAGAGAGTAAACAGAACTAGAAAATTATTGGAACATAGAAAAGCGAATGAGTATAAACAGACATGCCTGAGGCCAGAA